TTAATATAATACTTTAACTTAATAATAATAATGGAAAATATTTTTTAATTGAATTCGATTTTATATTGAAAAATTTACGATAGATAAAACGATAGATAAAAAGGAAATTTGAATTTAGTGATAGATGTCAAATATTTTTTAATTTAAGAAGAGTTTAAGGTCAAATATCGAAAGGAGGTGTCCTTATTGATAGAGAAAAGCTTTCTGATTGAAGATTTCAATCGTTGCTGAGAAAGCTTTAAAACAAGCAACGAAAAAGCAATTTGAAAAGAGGGAGTAAGAAGAATAGAAGGAGATGGAGGAGTAAGAATGCTTCGAAGATTTTCTGTAATCCTTCACCGTGAGAAGAAAACGTTCCTTTCGTGATAAGAAGAAAACCTTTCTTTGTGTTTTTCTATGGTGCCGTGAAAAATCTTACTTTTTACTCGTTTCTTTAAGAGATCTCAATTTACGAAGGCTTTAATGAACATTGTTTACGGTTGCATTTGTGTCCATAAAACTTTTAAAAATAGAGAATGCGAGATAGTTTCTTTAAAATTTTAAATTTTTCTTTTACTTTTTTTTTTGTCGATCATTCATCTTTGTTATTTTTGTATTAAGTTGGTGTAAAATTAATTTTGTGGCTTGTATTATTTTATGATTAGTGCTGAATTTTTATCTATTTATGACCACGTAAAATAATAATTTAAAAGGTGAATTTACAGATGATTGATTTTTATTTATATCATTATTTTTAGTATCGTCAAAATTTAAAATTCAAATTAACCCCTTGACCTATTATCACGAGTCAGACTCGTGGTAAAAAATTTGTGCCATAAGCGAACACCACGAGTCTGACTCGTAGTAAAGAATATGTATTTTAAACGAGCGGGTACGCGGCGGAACAGTTGAATGGCACGGCGCGCGACCGATTTTCTTGTTTCTTTTGGCACGCAAAATTTTCAGATATCGCGTAGATCAAGGGGTTAAGAATAGAACGAAAAATAATTTTACACGATTATATTGTATGAATTTAAATTAGAATTGGCTCAACAAATTTTGTGACAAATTCATCAAGAACAAAAGCATTAAAAATAATAAAGATCATTTAATTGTAACATAAATAATTTAAAAGTTATTAATAAATCAATCCTTCGTAATATAACACAGATAGTAAAAAAGAAACATTCAACACCCCTGAAAATCAAAATTATATTCTCATCAATCTAATAATTATCCCATGCACATTTTATGATGCATACGAGCCGATCTTGACACAAATTTTCTTCTAGTATATCTTTTGCTTCAATCTTAATATCGTCATGCTTCTGATTAGAATAATTTTTTATGACCAAGGTAGAAATACACAATAACGATGATGTCATTTTCTCGTACCTTAGAGTTTGGAATCGTTTTTATCTGATTTAATTTATATGCTTATTAATATGCATAGGCAGAATTGTTTTATCTATGATGACTGAGAAATGCGATATCTTGTTTTTTTTTCTTTTTTGTTAAGAAAAAACTATTCATGGTAATATAATATACTAACTTAAGCCGTAATAAACAAGTATTTTATTTTTTTATATTATTTTATTTTTTTATTTTAGTTTTTACTATTTACTTTTATTTATACATGATGTTTCTTTTTATCTGGAAAAGTTAGAACTCATGAAAATAATTTGTTTAACCCATTTGAGACGAAGATTTTTTTCGAACACGATCCTCAGCAGCAAAATTTTTTTTTTTTTTATATTGTTCATTTTTAATAAAAAAAAAAAAACATATTTACTATAAAAATCATCCAATTCGTAAGTGAATTCACATAAATAAGATCATTGCACACCGGGTGTGCAGCTCGCTCCTCGGAAAATTTTTATTGCGAAGAGCGGATTGAACACCATGTGTGCAATGTAAGGTAAAATCAAAATACATCATTAAAACATTTCTTGTTTATTCATGGATAAAAATGGTGCAAAAGAAGAAAAGAAGAAAAGAAGAAAAGAAGAAAAGAAGAAAAGAAGAAAAGAAGAAAAGAAGAAAAGAAGGAAAGAAAAAAGAACTTATTATCTTAAGCCTGCGCAGCCTGCGTATTCATAATTTCTTACATGTAAGAAATTATGAATACGCAGGNTGCGTATTCATAATTTCTTACATGTAAGAAATTATGAATACGCAGGCTGCGCAGGCTTAAGATAATAAGTTTTTTCTCTTCTTCAGATAATAAGTTTCATTTAGGCGGTATGAATAAAAGGCTATACCATTGCTGTTGGTAACAGATTTGAAAAATGGAATTAGATATATGGATTCCTGCATTGATATTTTCTAAAAATGTAGATTTCGAAAATCTAAATAAAATGTTTTGTTTTTTTTTTTTATCTGCATGAAAACCAATGCCAAATTTTGTTTCTCTATACTTTACAGATACTATTAATAAAAAAAAATTCTTCTTTCGACGACTACTTTACTCAGAATAACTAATAATTGCTAATTATTATTATTGCACACACGGTGTGCAATCCGTCTCGAATGGGTTAAGTGATTTTGTTGAATATTATGCGTAAGATTTTATTTTTGCCCAAATTAATTTTTTGCAATGATTAAATATTCATACATTTTGTTTCCATTGCTAGGCACGGTGTTTATTACCATCGAATTTTATAAATTATTTTTAATAATTTAATTTTATGTCAGGTGAATACGGCGGGTGGGGTAGAACTTCCCATCGAAGCGTTTTCAAGTAGGTTTTCACTGGTTTTGCAACATGAAGCCGGGCGTTGTCATGTAACAAAATCACTTTGTCGTATTATACACTGTTGTCGTATAGCGGCCGTTTTTCTTTTAGGGCTCGACTCAAACGCATCAATTGAAGTCGATAGCGATCCCCCGTGATAGTCTCATTCGGTTTGATCAGCTCATAATAAATTATACCCTGCTGATCCCACCAAATACAGAGAAGAAGCTTTGAACCATGGATATTTGGTTTTGCGGACGATGTTAATGCATGGCCAGGCTTAACCCATGATTTTCTACGCTTTGGATTATCACAGTATATCCATTTTTCATCGCCAGTCACGATACGGTGCAAAAAACTTTTTCTTTTCTGCCGTTGAAGCAGTAGTTCACACGTGACAAAACGCCGTACGATGTCTCTTGGCTTCAATTCATATGGCACCCAATGTCCTTGCTTCTGGATCATTCCTAACATTTTTAAATGTTTTGAAACAGTTGATTCATAAACTTGTAATGTTTTTCCAAGTTCTGCTAGCGTCTGAGATCGGTCTTTATCAAGTAATTCCTCCAATTCTCTGTCTTGAAATTTTTTTGGTGCGCCAGAACGTTCTTTATCCTCAAGTTCAAAATCATTATTTTTGAAGCGTCGAAACCAGTCTCTGCATGTCGTATCCGACAAAGCATTGTCACCATAAGTCTCAGCAAGAATTTTATGTGCTTCAGCTGCCGATTTCTTTTGAATAAAGTAGTGCAATAAAATTCCCCGCAAATACACTTTAGTTTGTACAAAAGTAGACATTTTCAAGACTAATAAAAAATTACTTTGTTTACACTAAAGTGAACTATCATACACTAAAATTTCAGGTTAGATACAGTATTTCCTTGCAAGTGCGTTACCATTCGAAATTTCAAGCACGGAGTACTGCTATTGCCATCTTTGATGAAACAGCAAGAACTTATTCAAGGTCCTAATAATTTTGAAGTAAAAATATACTTTTTTATAGCATTTGTAAAACGAACAACGTAGGACGATTAAACTTAACACTTTACCGACCGGTAGCGATTCAAGAATCCTATGCCCTTCTCACCGGCCACTCAGCCGCATATCGTCCGAGACACCGGCTCGGTTTCGACTTATACTGTCGCGAGGGAATGTATGCCCTTTTCTTATACTCTGGTAAAATTGTACGCTTTGTGTTATTATAGGATAACCAAATTTAATAAAATCTTTTATTTTAATGATATTAGTGCTAAAAAATATTTATCGGTAAGCTCTGTAGAATAAAAGTCGATTAATCGACTACCGGTTGGTAAGCGCTGGGAACAAAAAGTCGATTAATCGACTGCCGGTCGGTAAAGTGTTAAAATAATGATCGTACAACAGTAGTTGAAAAGTAAACGCGTGGTGATAGTAAACGTTGATATGTATAAATATGGAAATTTTGCATGAGTGATAATTTATCGATTAGAATTAAACGAACGTCATGAAAGTTTTACTCTTTTATTGTTTTTACCTTTTAAGGAATACTCTATGAATAATTATACAAAAAATATATCATATAAAACTGCTGGCAAATAAAATAACGATTAAAGAACATCTTTCGTATGTGAATTAAATAAATAAAACAGACAGAGCAATAGAAACAAAAAGAAAAGAAAAAACATGAGTTTTATCATACACGAAAATTGTGAAATTTATTTTAGCGTAATGTTTTGAAAAAGGGAAAAAAGAGGAAAAAAAAAGAAAAAAGAGAGAATAAAAACTAGGAAGATTTATTATCCGGCTTTTAAAGGACAAGGATCGTTTAAGTCAGGTGTGGTCTGTTAGTAATTAAACAATTAACTCGTACTATTCTCGGTCATTCTCTTACGTATCTTATTATTTTCGTTGAGGCTTTATAAACTTGGTATTTCTGAAACCAGTTAAAAACAAAAAGCTGTATTATCAATGATTACGTAAAATGAAATACATACGCGTTGTTACTGATTTGGATAATATGTTTTCAAATGTTCATAGATTGCATTAAGATAAGTAAGTTGTAAGAATAAAGTTCTACCATTATAACGACTCGATGCGATTAAGGCTGGAAAATATTATGCGAAAGAAAAAAGTAGACAATACTCGCAGGAAAACTTTTGATATCATTGTGAATATGAAATGTTTGATCTCAATGCGATATATTACTCGAGACTAATTCATTAACAATTCATTACGCGTTTGCATCCATCGTACAAGACTTTGTTACATTCAAATACTATATTTTAATATAACAATAAACGTGAATAAAATGAATGTCGATCAGTAATCCGATATAACGATTAATCCGATATTCAACAATTTATGTGTTTTCAATGACGATCCTGAACATACGTAGAGAAATACTATACATATAAAAACTAGAGACACGTTCCATTTTTATTATGAGAAGCAATTTTTATTCTTCCACTTGAAATATTTTATCGATAATATGACGAAAGGATAAACAACCAGGGAGTTAAATTATTTTCCGCTTTATTATCTCTCTTTCTCTTTCTTTATTTTTTGAAAATTTTCAAAAGAGCAGAAAAAATCAAACAAAAGGTTTTATGCGATCCGTTCGACAGGGCGGAATGCATTATGTTTCATAATTCACTTGGAACAAGTTTATATGCACTATCAACCATAAGCTTACAAATCATTTGCCGATTTTCATAAAAATTACATTTCTTACATTTTGTTCTTATCAATATTCTGTTTCTTTGAATTTATATGAAAAATTTCGATCGGTAGTATATGTATTAGTTTCATTTTAAAGCAAATATCGAGATAACAAATTAATCAAACCAATTGAAATTATTTATTAGAGATGGAAGTCGTAACGAAACTTCTCAGGGAAATCAATCAACACAGGATAGACGAAAATTATTGAAACGAACAAGGAGCTTGGCGGTAATATCGGAGGACGAATCTCGTCAGGAACGTGAAACCCAACATTTCCAATTGGGAGAATCGAGCTTCGATTTACCCAGAAGGCATCAATTGATACCAAGGGCCAAATTGATTGATCGCAATTCTCTTAAAGATAGGTAAGTCATCGCATATTCTATATCATACGTATATGATCTTTGACATTCGTATAAGAAAAGCTCATCGATGAGCAAATATATGAATACGGTTAAAAAAAAATATACATTTACATAAGAATGATCTAATCAGTCAGAGTCTACAGTGTTCGAGTAGAAGAATAAAATTTTTTTCTTTACAAGTAAGATCGCATAATTTATTTGTTTAATAATGTTTCTTGTTTTCTTTATTTAATTTTATGATTACAAAAAACTGTTGAGTATTCTGTACGAAAAATTTTAAATCATATTAAATTTCTCTTTTATAAGAAAGACGAGAATGTTTTATTACATAAGAATATTTGCTATGCGAATTCATGAATATATTATTTTTGTACTTATTTTTAATATACCTTTTCTATATTTCTCCTGACAGACGGATATTTAACCCCTTAACCTACGATTTATGTTCGATAATTTAGGGCCGAAAACGTAAACAAGTTCGCGCAGCCTTCGAGCCATTCGCACGACTTGAGTAATACACTGACAAAAACATAAATATTGTGATCATCGTACTACGGGCTATGCCCGTAGAATTTACGTTTGGCCCGATCATCGTACACGGGCTCTATGCCCGTAATTGTAGGTTAAGGGGTTACTCAATTCGTAGATATGAAAATTAGTTATTCGTGTATGAAAGATAAAAAATGATCGATAACGTAAATTACCTATTTTAATTTCAGACTTTACAAAAGTCAGCAACATTTGTCAGATTCTTATGACAGATTTAATGAGGTAAAATCTGGCTATTCACGATCAGCTTGTGGACTGCACTCAATTCAACCAATTCTATCTTCTTTACCTAATCCATTGGCATACGCGGCGCGAACTACAAATCGTTCTGATCCAGATCGACTCAATATTCTTGACTGGCCAGAACCACCGAGACGTTATCGAAGTGTACAGACATTGGATACGGTTAGCGGATTGGTGGATATTATCGAGGATAATTGGCCTATCGAAGGCAATCGTAGTATCGATTGTATCTATACTCAGGTAAATTCTAATCTATCGATCTATCGATCTAATATCCATTTCTTCATAACTAAATTTAGAATTTCAATCTTAACAAAGGAATTTTTATTGTTTAATTTCATTCGTGATAAAAGAAGAGAATAAACTATTTAACTGAATTGCCTGGAATTAAAAAAGTATCATTTAAAGGCAAGACTTGTATTTATTTCAATATATGTATATTTTCATAAAATATATTATTTATTATTATTAAATCAAAATAATATTGTATTAAAATAAATTAGTATGAATATAAAAACATTGATTTGTTAATTACAAAAAAAACTTTTCGATCAATCCAATATATCGAGATTTATTTTCTGATTAGAAAATTAAATTAAAAATTACTTATTTACTTTTTCAGTAAGATTTAAGTTCAATTTTCGAATAAAATGTAGTTGGCTTGAAGAAGTAAATAGAAAATTGATTATGAGGCTTTTAGCTTGAACACAGCAGGATTAGATGCATATCCTATCTTCTGAGAACATTTATTCTATAACACTTAAGAACTAAACCATTACACAGGTTTTAACATGAATATTTAATTTGGTCTCGGTTAGATTAACACTAAACGAGAAAGCAACCGGAAGTTTTAGGAAACTTCGTATTTCTCTTTCTCTCTCTCTCTTTCTTTCTCTTCGAAGTTATCGACTTTGAATTAACGAGCAAGAAGCTACTCATTGCGGCTTTCATTCTTAAAAGATGAACATACTAATTCAACGCGTCTTTGTACTATTTCAAATTCATGATTCCTTCGAACGAGGTCAAATTTGAATCTTATGCGGTGGTTCTGAATCTCTTTTCTCTCAACTATATGAATGTATGAGGTGATTCATCTATTCATTTATTTCTAATTCTATCTTCTATTTCGCAAAAAAAAAATTCAATTTTCAGTTTTCCAACTACTTCTGTTTTTTTTCTATCAGTATTTTATTCAATATTTTACATACATATATGAATATTTGTTTATAAATGTTGACCATTTGATTTTTAAATTGGGAATTAAAATTGTGCGTTTAATGTTATTATTTGGCTGTTTCCTTTATTAATTAAAACAGTAACAAATTAGTGCAATGTTATCTGCATTCAATTATAAAAAAAAATACTTTTATGTAAAAACTGTTGAAGGGTTTAATATTGATTAAAAATACTTATTCAATAAATACCAATTATTCAATAATCCATTTTTGACCGTTCATCTCTTGTGTTAATCGAAATTATGCTTTTTGCTGTCGTTACTTTTAACTTCTTTATCTTATTTTCTGGTATATATATATATAAAATTGAACAAAAATCTTTATCTTACATTGCTGTATCATAGGTTAAGCGCAAGCGCAAAGAACATCGTAGTTTGGATAGCATCCTTTTCGAGGACGAGAGTGAATTGGAATATTTCGACGTACTAAATCTTTTACCATTGTCGAATGTAAGATTGGAATTTGACGAAGAAGATGCAAGGAACAATAATTATCCTCAGAGGGAAGAAGAAAGAAGAATAAGAAGGATAAGAAAGGATAACGATGTCTCATGTTCCCAACGAGTTTACAAACATCAAGAAGAAGTATTATCTTCGAATATCGATGAGAAGTTGAACGTTAAAAGTAGAAACGTGACGGACGAAGAGAAATGTAAATGTCACGGTACTGATACAACTAAAACAGAAATTGTTTCGATCGACAACAGCGAGGAAGACAAAGACGACGAATACGGACAGCCACATAAAAACGAAAACGAAAACGAAAACGAAGACGAAGACAAGGAAGAAGACAAGGAAGAAGACGAAAAAGAGGAAGAACTTGTAGCAACGAGAAGAAGTTCTTTGGTTAACTTTTTAAAAATACATGACCGAAATACGAGTAGTGGTGAAAATAGTCCGGAATCTTTACAGAATTTAGAAAACTTAGAAAGAAGTTTGGAGATTTCAACGTCGATCGAAAATACAAGCAAAGAAGAAGAAAGATCTTCGTATTCGTCTTTGAGAATCGATCAAGACGATAGTTATAGAGCACGTGTAGTTTTGGTCACGCCAATCGGTAAAAATAAGATCAATTGGGGTTCTATTGAAAACGAAGAGGAGGAGAAACAAGGGGAGAAAGGAGTTGAGGAGAATTCGACAACAATTTGGATTTCGGATAACGACAAACAAGAAGAGATGTCGCGTAGACCTCAGGTTCTTAAAGTAGTTGACAACAATGTGACTAAAAGATCTCATCGTCGTTCAGTCGAAATAGATATTCATGTTGAAGATGTGTCGAAGTGTGAAATTGTACGAGACGTTAGAAATGAATCTAACGATTCGAAAGATTTCATATTGAAATCCGAACGAATGAAAGATGTCGTCGATGGAAATTCTACTATTCATGTAAGTTATTTATCATCGTTAATCGATTGACGAATGATTTGTCTTTTATTATTCTTATTAGAAAGTAATCTAGATTGTTTGATTCCTTTTTTTAATCTTTCTCTACTCTATTTTTTTTTGAGTCGTTTGTTTAATTTTAATTTTTGTTTCCTTTCTTGTTCTTTTCTTTTTTTAAGGATGTTGTTTCTCGAGAAGAGAAAACGGAAGCATCTGTTAAGAACGTGAAGAACATGTTTGAGAATGAAATCTCTCGAGAGAAAGCTGCTGGAAAGACTAAACAGATCGAAAGTAGATTCGAGAGAATTGTCAAGGAAACTTCGAACATATTTGGCAAGGCATGCAACGTTGTGAAGGGTAGTTTAGGTTTCGAAGCTCGTTCTGAAAGTTCGGATCTTGGCTTGGGTTCTGAAATCGAAACTGATACTAGAAGAAGATCCGTCGATGATAATGATCACGATAGAGATTGTACTAAAATGATTCATAACATTATAGACGAGAACGATACTAAGAAAAATTATAATAATTTAACGAGATCTAAAAGTTGTGCGGATTCGATCGAATCGCAAAATGATGCACCAGAATTCGATCACGTCCGTTATAAGATCGTTAAATCAAATGTTTTTAGTAAAAATATGTATAGCACTGGGAGAGGTAATGTCACATACGACGGTCTCATGCAATATCTTCGAGAATATTCATTTCAGGAACTTCTTCTGGATAACAATGTTGTTATCATCGAACCTGTGCGCGCAGAACAAATCGAAAGAAAATCTTTATCTGCCAGTGACAAAAGAAGACCAGAAACCAATTGTAAGGTATCAAATACGCTTCAAAAAACAGATGATTCAGATCAAGAATCGAGAAAGAGTAATGAAAAATATGATAACGGTAATTGTAAAATCAGCAAACAATCATCGATTCGAAAACATTTCTTTTATCATCCTATCAGAGTTAATCGCGAATTGATTGATGAGGAATTACCTGATCCTGACACCGTGAGAAACGTAAGACGAATGTTCGAGGATACTTTAAAGAAGAAAAATTCATCTTCAAATTTAGATATGGATAAAGATTGTAAAAATACAAAGAGCGTTAGCATGAAGGATCTCACAAGTATCGATTCGGATTCTCGTTACGAAGAAGTATTGGAAAAGAATGAAGAAATATCAAGGTACGCATATTTAAACATCTAATCAGTTCCATCAAAACTGTTTATTCAGTAATAAATCAAATAAGTTATTTGATTCTTTTTTTTCTATTAGATCCAGATGTTCAAGCAGAGCAAAAGATTTGACAAAAATGTTCGAGAGCATGGAAAAATCGACTTCAACAATTGTTTCGATAACCGGAAACAAAGAAGAATCGGAAAGTCCACGAAGCGAATCTAAAACAAGAATATTAGCGCAATCCTTCGAAGCTAGAAGTGGACATACATCACCGTGCGATTCTAATTCTTCGAAAACCAAAGTTACTCGTTATCAACATCATCATCATCATCATAACTGGGATGCCGGTAGTGTTAGTTCTGGAGTTTCCAGTGATTATCCAGACACCGATCCTGGTAGCGGAGTACAGTGCACGTCTTCGGAAGACGAGGATTGCCATTATGATGATGATGGTCTCGATGAAAGTGGACCGGGTCATTACGTGTCCCAAGATGTTTTGAAGAAAATTCGTGAATGTGGTACTTCAGTAACTTATTATGGTGGTAAAGTTGTTAACACTTGCAATGGACCACTCATTTCACCATTAATCGAAAACAGGTTCAAGAGAATTGATCGAACCAAGAACGATTACGTTAAATTTAAGCTCATAAAAAGTAACTCTTGCGACAGTCGACTTGAATTAACTGGAAGATTAGTTGAAAGACAAGCTAAAGTAACTAATCGAAACGAAATAGTACCTGATTTAAGACAATACACTATAATTGAAACTCCAAGTATCGAGATTACGACCATCGACAATAAAGATCAAAATGATGAAAAAGATAAAGAGAAAATTCCAACGGAAACTAAAAGAGAACCACCTGTCGTTATTGGATTGGAACCAAAAAAGGATGAGCAAAAAGAAAGTAAAGCATTCAAGGCCGATTTCAAACTAGGAAATTACGAGGATAATAAATCAACTTTTCACGCTAGATTCAATGAAAGTGCTTTGACAAGGTGGCAAGTTAACGAAAATCATTGGAAGAATGAAAGTGATTTTGGAAAAATGGAGTTTGAAGAGTTCGAGGTACTAGAGGATAGTCTTAATGGAATAGAAAATCAAAGTCAACGTTTGGAAGCTTCTTGAGAAATTTCCTGAAAATATATTTTTACCTAGAGAAATATTTTCATCGAAAAAGCGTATAATATATGTCTATGTATATATGATTAAAATGAAAATGATATTTTTTTTCGAATGCTGTGTATAAAAAGCAATATGTAAATTTATGGTATGTATACTTCAAATTTTCGTCTTGTATCTATAATGTATAGTAATAGTTCTCAACCTATGAACCGCGTTTCATTAATGGGATCGTAAAATGAAAGTTATTAACTATCATCGAAGTGAGTAAAGTAATAATTCATTTGTAAAAGATTTTCAAGTACAGTTGTATTTTTCAAGTAATTTACAGTAACTCTAGCCTACTATATTCCTATAAAATTTGATATAAGCTTTGAGATAGCAGTATCATTACAAATAAATTCATGGATAGTATGGTAAAAAAGGGATTGAAAAAGGTTCAAATTAATGTACAGTACGTATTTAAGATTCTATATCGATATCGTTAATGAATGATGAAAGCTGAATACATTTTCATGGCTAACCAGAAATATAGAAATTTACGAGGATGCTAATGTTCAATCGAAAATTTCAGCCGTATAGAACAAACTTTCGTCGATGTGACGACCATCGATTAAAATATTTATTACGACGATTAACGACATTTTAGGCCCCAACCATTTCCTCGTTACATTCAAAAACTTTGATCTTTAGTTTTATCTTAGTTTAAGTCTAGTGCTAGTCTTTCGGTGATCACTGTAATAAAACTCATATCTGTAGCGTGACCAATGGTATTAAATTATCGAATTTATTTTATTCGATGTTAAAATATGAATCTTTTTTTCTCTATTCTCCTCGTATCCTATTTTTCTCTCTTTTTTTCTTTTTACATCAAACTTCTACATTTGAAGAATAAATAATAATCGATCATTCGATTTTTCAAGTATAAGGTGTGGTAAAAAATTTCCAAATGATTCCAAAAATATCATTAATTATGCTTTTTAAGTAAAGTTTATCTTATAAAACTGCAAGTCAAAAAATTTAATTATCTAAAAAAAAAACAAAGAAAACAAAACTTAGCTTAAAATTTGACCTAATTGATAATCTTTTCCAAGAAATTTTCTAGGATCATTTTATTTTTTGTTATTTTATAATTACAGGTCTAAGAATTTTTAGCTTATCCAGTATAAAAATATGATAACGGAAAGAAAAAGTGATAGGACAAATATTCGAAGGTAAAAGGACGAATTTAAAAATGAAATATGGAATAAAAGATCATCTATTATACAGCATAAAAGTAAAGCGTAGCAGTTTCTCAAGAGTAGGTTACAATGTAAAATGAATGTTCTCGAAGATTTTTCTCTTTAAGAAGGATGCATATCGAATAGATTTTTATATCAACGAAATGCAACGACTGAAAATTCCACATAAGTGACCCCTATAGTATCCGAAGTATGAGAACAATGTTTTAACGTCATGTAATATTATTAATATTTTGTAAAATTTTCATATTCCTTTGTGCAACTATTCTCATTATAAAAATATCTATAATGTACTCGGATAATTCTTGAAAAGAATAAAAAAAAAACAAGTAAGTAATTGTTTTTTTTACATCTTCAGAAGTGTGCTAGTTGGAAAAGCGTATTGCTGAAAATAAGCACATAATGTTCATATCTATGATAAATCTTCGTAGAAACAGTCAACAATTTCCGTAAAATATATTTTTTAATTTTATGGGTTTTGCGGAGCAAGAACATACCGGTTGGTTCGGTGATGGATGTCGTAGATGTTTTTTCCCTTGTGTCCTTTTTAATAGTCGATGCTTGGGTGTTGCTCTTCATAAGAATCGTACTTAAATTTGGCTCAAACGATCTCGCTGTTATCGATATGTTCCTTTGAGAAAGTTGCCACCATCTTTTGCACCAGGTTTCCTAAAATAAGATATGAAAAAAGGAGTCAGAAGTATAGTTAGTTTTTTAGCAGTATAGACCTGCTAAAAAAGATATAAAAACCTTAAGATATTCGTCTGCTTTTTCACCAACATTTATTTTTAACTTTAAAGAAAAATAAAATATATGACCCCTTTCAAAGTTAGGCAAATCATCGAACATTTTTCAAAAAAATATTTCGCTTATTATATAATTACTTTTCGATATTTTACTTTACCCCCCCTTTTTTTTTTTATTCAGAATGACACGATAAATCAATTTATCTTCTCTAAAAAAAAGTTGTGCAGTTTCATTAATAAAAAAAGGAAAAGCAATATCGTTTATCTTAAAATAGTAAAACTTTTTCTTAACCACTTTTTCTTTTCTATTTATTTTTATTTTTTTTATTTTTTATAGAACCGAAACAAATAAAAGAAACATTTGGAGTGATATAGTTGAGTGGCGCACTGGATATATCTTGTTTTTTATCTTTCGAGAAGACACATAGAGACAACATTTCCCTTACAAGTAGGAATTCAAATTCGTGTGGTCTAAAATGCGCTGAATATCGATCGGTTGATGCTTTCAGGGGAGAAATAGAAAACTTCTCGTTTTTCGATGAAACATTTATACAGCAAACGGACATTACTCTACACGTTTACGAGAAACTCAAGAGTTGGTAAAGCCTCCCACTGTATGATATTTTCTTCGAGTCCCTCATCGTGTTGGGGATGATCGTAAACTTTGAGTGGGACCACGTACGTTCGTAATTTTTTACGAGAAGAAAAAAAGACAATAAGTATCGAAAAGAAAAATAAATAAATAAATAAATTAAATAAACCAGCTTAAAAAAGAAATAAAACACACAGATATACGTTTTCATAAGCGAAAATGCTAACGCAAGCAATCGAGTTGGAATATTTTGTATTTGCTTTTTTAATCAAATTTAATCAAAATCCATAACGAAACTGATAGAAAAAATAGTATGGAAATCATTATATTGATCGAATTTTTTTTATTATGTTGTTCTATTTTTATTTGCAATCTTCTTTCTTGCATTTATCCAATAAGTTTCTCCAGTTACATTTCAAATAAACATTGGGAACGAATGTAATCTTTAGAAAATAGTGCTCGAATTTTCAGTCCAAAACGTAAATAAACTTAACAACGAGTTAAAGAATAATATTAGATCGCTCTTCAAGCTAAATGTTTTTTCTTCTATTTTTCTTTTTTTGTTCTTTTTTGTTTTTATTTTTTTTTATCTTTCATCAAGCTAGAAAAAACACATTTCTTTTTATGCTATTCATACCTTTTATTTCATGATGTTTTTTTCAACTTGTTCAAATACCTACTATTTTTCCCAAAGGGAAAAAGGTCATGATCAATTGAGAGTTCTAGTGATTCCTATTATTTTCTCCGTGTTAAAAAATATCTATCTATATAGATGCCTATTTAGAGATAAAAATTTATCTCCTAAGAAATACTGAATCATCCGAGGAAAGGAATAAATCGTAGTAAATAAATTTGTAGATTATGGGCGATAAATAAAATCAGACTTTCCTCTTTGAAAAAAAAAAACTGTGCCGATAGTTATGATAATAGTTTAACATAAGTCCAAAATTTATACTAATTAATTTCAGGATTTATTTTGTAATATAAATAATTTGAATATAAAATAAATTACAAGATATTTTTTTCTAATGTTTTGATTTAGTTCACTGTCATAGTTATCGGTACAACTAAGAAAATTCATATCGTTTCTAAGTTTACTTATCACTTATTTCTCTTGATCAAAATAACACATAATCTTATTATCATAATAAATATACGATGTACTTCAAACATACATTATAAATTAGTGAAAGGCATTAATTAGCGGAAATAAATTATGAACGAATTTAAAACCGACACGAATTTTCTAGCTTATCTAATATTCTTGATGACAAATTTCGATCAAAAAATAATCGTTTAGTTCGTAAAATCGATAAAATAATTTTGAAAATGAAAATAAAATTCATTTTAATTGGTTACCTTCGAAATAGCCTGCGAAAATTGTTACATAGACAATTCCTTGCAGACTTCCTTCTTTGAATATGCAAATTGAATGGTAAACATTAAGTCACTTTAATGATCTATCTCTTCACTTTAGCATACGATGTTTCCTTAAGTATGGTCGGTTGGTATATATTCGTAACACCAAAGGGTATTTAAATGGTGCCAACGTGGCCATTGTAGTAATATCCCTTAGAGAGGGTAAAAGTTGTTGAAAATTCTATCTTGAATTAGGTTGACTTGGTGTAGTATACCTACTCTAATTCGGCTATTGAATTGTGATTTTGTTCAAGATAAAATAGGAAAAAAATATTAGTGTAAATACGCGAACATTGTTTCGAATTAAGCATACATTTTTTATAATCCTATTTAATGAACCCATTTGAGAAATAAGAAAAAAAAAACAAACATTTTATTGATTCGTAGATCAAGTTTGATGTTAAACGATCTTTTTGATAAAACTGAGTAATGTTTGCACGATAGATCATTTTATTGTCAAGGAATTAATCAAGCGTACAACGTACAACTGAAGGTTTGTTAAAATGATTGGCGTTCACTGACCGGAATTAAATTTTAAAATACTAAATATACCGAGTGTGTTTCTTTAAAAGATATAAGATATAAATATTTCAGATCCTGTTAGTTTTTTAACCCTTTCAGTATAAGCGTTCTGTCCTCTGTGACACTCGCGCTGTACATGGCAACTACACTATGTAACGAAAAATGCTGTTCTCTACGCGAGTTCATTGAAATGAAGTTTTTGATGATTAAATTATTAATTTTCAAAAGACATGATACACATACTTTCACTAGGAAAATTTACTCTAATAATTAACAATACACAAATGGTGAGTGAGTGAGCTAATAGAGTGAGGCACTATAGTGGTGCGTCGTTCAGAGAAATGACATTCGTGAAAGCCACTATAGTTGTGCGTCGTGCCTAAGAGGTTAATATTAAATCCACCGATACTTCATTCCTACCGTGAGCGGTCAAATGACTCCTTTAACCCCTTAAGTTGCACACTAGAGTTAACTCAAGCGGCGTTGTATTACGTTGAGCCAAAATTGTTCCTTAAGGGGTTAAACAGAAACATATATCTTAATATACAATGAAATTTTAGCCAATTGGATAGTGATATTTTCTTTTATTTAGAAATGAATATATAAGTACGTGTGGCGCTCGTACACATAGGTCATCAGATATATCCTGCATATTTAATACTTGTATTTTTTACCAATAAAAAGGTTTTTATTAAAACCTATATTTTAAAATTTTGTTTAAAAAACAAAATTTTAGGAAGTATCGATAGGAAAAGCAACGAGCTATTCATCAATATTTCCGTGAATTATGACGCCTTGAAATTAAACAGATCGCGTAATCGCAAATAACGATATCATCTTCCCTGTGAATATTTTATAACCAATAAAATAATAAATCACATTTCGTTACTGATTATATTTATTTTCACTTTTTTGGAATTTGGGAAATTGTAATTAATTCATCACAAATAACAATAGCTGAAATAAATAAAAAATTATTTATAAAATTAATAAGATCGGAAAATGTTTTAGTATATTGTTTGAACTAAGACACCCAGTAGATTTGTATCGTCAAAGGTACCAACATCTCTTTGATCAGTATGTTCCCATTTTCTATGTTCGTTGATTTCATTTGTCCTATTTTTCCGACCTCTTTTATCATCACATTCTGTGACTTCTCAATCTGATCTTCTCCCGTTTTATCTTTCTCATTTCTTCATCGCAAGAGTTTCATTAATGTAAGATCGATTTTATAAGATAACGCAATTATTACCTTTAATCATTTTCCTAGTTTATTTATCAATTTTTTGTAAATAATTTATCTCGAGAAAAAAATATTGTAGTAAAATATTAATTGAAATTTTCTGGTATCTTCGTCAACTAATTATAACTAACCTAACTAAAATATAATCATAATTTGAGTCCTCTGGTCGTCAGCCAAAAATGTCAAAAGCAAAGAAGATTTCTTACATCTGTCGTGTGCAAAAGATGAGAGATAACTATAAAATAACAGAAACAACGAGGGACATTTAGTATTTTCCTGGCATGACATTTACTGTACTTGAACATTATAATATTTTATAAAACATTTAATTGGTCAAAATATAAAACCTTAATAATATATATCTAATATATATATATTAGAGGTCACCAACACAATAACCACAATAATATTTTCTCTTCCTATTATATTTAAGAGTACGTTATATCTCGTTAGAATGCAAATAGCGGAGCAAGTATCTTAATCTATAGAATATCAAACCTTACGATAATTATCAGAGTACATACTATCACAATGAAATTCCATTTCTCTGTGACAATGCATTATCCTACATTTCTCTACTCTAATAATTGTCAGCTAATTCCAAAATAATGAATATTACCAACACGACGAAAATTCGTCTTCGTTGTAATACAATAAAATTTTTTAAATGTTAAAACGCTTGGAAAGATTTACAAGCGTTGAATAACATTGTTACAAGGAAATAGAAATAAGGAAGAAAAAAAAAAGAAAAAAGAGAAGAATCTCATTGTATAAACGTAAATAGTAAATGCAGATGTTATTATTAGTAAAAAATCAAAATCATATTTTGAATTTTCATGAAAATTTCTTTTACATGCTAACGAAGCTATGTATATTAATGTTAAAATACAAGTGCTGAGGTTTCTTTTCGACATTTCGATGCTGAGTTTACTATGACAAGGTCGTAAAGTTTTAACCTTTTAAAATATGAATCACCTATTTACGTTCTATAAAAATCATGGTACATTATGTAATCTATGTATATTACGTTTACTCGCAACAACACTATTTTAATGTTTCTATTGTACATACTAAGTAAATCAGTGCAAATTCTTTTATCCATCCATGTGGAATTATAAATAACTTAACACTATCTCGAAACCATCAT